GACTTACTGCCTTCTGTTATTATCTCTCTGCCATACTCCTTGGTTATTACTCCTAATAGTCTTGTTGCTTTCGCTCTGTTCCACATATTTCGCTCCTTTTCAGTTTAGTTCTCTGTAACTTTTTGAAATTAAATTCTAATTAGATTATTTATATTATAGTGATATATATATTTGTTGTTTTGTTTAAATTGTATATTAATAGATAACTTATTAAATTAGAAAGTAATATAAGCTTGCTAATCCTTTGTCAAGAATTTACTAATTTCTTTACTTTTGTTATTTTTTAATAGAAAAAAATCTAAAGAATTTAAAAAAGATGAAAAACAAAACTAACTGAAACTTAAAGAAAATAAAATATTAGATCTAGTTTTAGTATTATAGTTAGAGCTTTATATCTTAATAATTACTATAACTTCTTCTTTTTTCTTATTTTATTTTAATTTATAGATAATACTTTATATATATATACAAGTTCCTATATATATACTTTATTAAGAAAGAGCTTCTTATAATTAAACTTGTATCTTTTACAACTAGACTACTATACTTATATTAGTTAAAATATATAATCTATTAGATAAATATTAGAAAAGCTACTAGATTTCTAAAGTCAAAACAAAAAAATTTTCTTTTGTTCTATATTAGTATTAATGATTAATAAGAAGAGTTAAACTTATTATATTAATAAAAAATAGTTATAGATTTATTTACTATATTTTTTTTATTTAATTATATTTATATATATGTATTTAAAATTTTAAGATACTTTGATTAATTAATTTTAAATCAAGTTTTTCAAGTTGATTTATTTTATATTAATACTATTAATTAATGATTTATAAGTTATAGAAAGATTAAAAAATTTAAAAATTTTTTTTTTATTGTTAAAATAGCTTATATTACTGAAGAGATTTTATTAGTTTTGTATATAGGATTATATATTGATAATTTTTACTATTTGTAATTATATGAAGAGTATATAACAAACTATATATATAACTTTAGTTATTATCTATTTTAAGTAGTTTAAAACATAGATATTAAATTATTTAATTAGTTTTATATTATATTATTATATTTGTAGCTTATCTGTAAATTATTTATTTAAATATTTTGCTAATTAATTTATATAGATTTAACTCTAATATGATTACAACATTTAAATATTTAAGCTAACTAGCTTATTACAAATCTATTTACTCAGACTAGTTTAGATCTTCTCAAAATATATTATATCCAATATATTATATATATTGCTGAATTAATTAACCTTAATACAAACCTAGATTATTTTGTACTATCTAAGCAAATTTGAGTTAAGAAAACTTTATAATATATAAAAATACAATTTTTTATAATTAATATACTTTAAAATTTTATAAAAAGGTATATTCTATTTTAATATATATATTGTAAAAACTACTTATTATATATTTATATATTAATTTTTGGTTTTAATTTGAAATAAATGTCTAAAAAGTCTATATGATTAATATAAATAGAAAAATAAAATATAGTTCCTGACTATATAATATCTTCCAAGTAATTAAATATTAAAAATATTACGCAACACCAAGTATCCAAAAAGGTGGTAAACCTCTTTGCCTTGCTTCATTCCCTAACCCAATTCTTGTATTTAAATTTTCGTCATCTATTAGATTACTTGGAATAATGTCTCTTATATTACCAATATTTTCTAGGTTCTGTAAGTATTCAAGTTCATATTTTGATTCTTGTCGCGTGCATCGTTTGGATTTGTTAATCATATAAGCATTCTTTGCTATATGTACCAAAGATATATCATGCATTCTATTAGAATACCTTTTTAAATGTTCTATACTCGCCTTACTAATTCTTTGGCCTCCTTTAGCTGTATATTGCCATATATCTGGTCCACAAAGCCCATTTTGTGTACTTCTTATAAGTAATAACCAATATTGTAAATTTAAAGTTGTATATCGGAAAATGTTTTCATCGTAATCTGACGGTTTAATCTCATTAGTATCAAGTAAATTCTGAACATAATTTATTTCATAAATTTGTTTCATCTCATTCGTTGAAGTATTATTTGAAATATAAAATTGTTTTCCAATTCTCATTCGAACACGATTAACTATTCGAAGATAAAGTCTTAAATCGTCAACAAATGCTGCCAATGATAATACTCGAAAATCATATATAACACTACGATGATCAGAATTATTTGCAATTTTAATGTATTCTGAAGAATTTATAAGAGTCTCTAACCATTCAGATGCAAATAATCGAAGTTTCGTATATTCTTTACGTGTAAGTATATTCGTACGATAAAGAAGTCTACAAGCATCTAAGAAAAAGCTAGGATCTGAATCTGTTATATTGTTCAAGAATGATGATGTGCCAACTTTTAAAAATTTTGGAATGATTCGTGGAATTGTATTTATATTTGGAAAACTATAACCTTCGGAATTAATAGAATCAGATTCAGAGTTACCGGTAAGATAGGGAGATTCTAAATTTTCATGGTCTCCAATATTGTAAGAAGAAAGAATAAAAGTTTGAATTAAGTTCCCAGCCCATTTCGCATATTTTTCATTACCCGAAAAATAATGAGCCAAAGTTAAAGTCGTTATATTTTCGAAAAAAGAGTCTGGTGTAAAGAATTTTTCAAAGTAATCCTTATTAGTGATATCAAGATGTAAATTTTGAATATCATCAACAGAATCAATATGTTGATTATATAAATTGTAATCATTTGTTTTCAAGAAATTTGCAAAAGTATCTTGAACATCACGATGGTCCGATTTAAATAAATTAGTTGTAATTGATAACATCTCGTCAGCACGCTTGATCAACACTTGAACTATTTCAACAACCTCAGGGACTTCTAACCAATAATTTAATCTTGCATTATTTAGCAACTTTTCATCATAAAGTAGTAGTCTAAAAGGGTCGAAGCCTTGAACTTTTCGTGCAATTCGTTCATCTATACCATCTATCAATTCTTGAACAGCCAATAAACGATTAAACGAACGTAATGCACTAGATTCTCTCTGATTTAATTCTTGTGATGCTTGACCAGAGAATAAACGAAAAACCCAACCAATTGATTTATATTGGTCTTTTTCCACAACTTTGTAAGGATCATAACTTGGTTCCCATGGAGCAGATGATTTATTAGCATTTCTGCTAGTAGATGGGACACCTAAACGCCATAACATATCCAACTAAATAAAATTATGTTTGTTAATTTTTTTTTATATTGATTATTATTAACAATACGTATTGAAAGAGAAATCGATATGCACTTTTGACCTTCTACCATAACGCATATTTTCGTTAAAAGTTTTATTATAATCATAACGAAAGATAATTTGAGGTTCTTCAGGAGCAAGAGGTCGAGTATCCAATCCATCTAATAATTGTGAGTTATTTAACAACCTTGCCATTGGTACAATAAAATATTTATATCGATCACCCCATTTATTTAATTGAGTTCGAATATCAGCAAACGAATTGGGAGTTAAAAAACAATTTCCATCAAAAGGTAAAATCCAACTAACATTTTGTTGTGATTTACCATGAGCGAGAGCCGCATTTCTACCACCATTCTAATATTTTTTTTAAAAAAAAATTTTTGATTATTAAAAAAAAATCATTAAAATTTATATTAATATCATTTAAAGATAAGTTTTACTTACATTATTTATGGCATATAAATTTTTTTCATGATAACTATAATCTATTGCCCTCAATTTACTAACTTTTGAAAAATTCATGAAATCATTTGAATGAAAAAAATCAGGTTCAGGAAAATCTTCAAGACGAAAATCACATTTTAAATATTCTTGTTCATTAAAAGGTATTCTAATATAATCTTGATTATGTAATTTTAAGAGATTAATTATAGCATCTTCATATTCAGAATTTACAATTCTATTAAGTATCCACCATTTTTTTGTGTTTAAAAAGTCTGATTCATGTTCTAATATAAATCTTAAATTTTTTAATGTTTGTCCAGTTTTATGACGTGGTGGAAGATCGTTACCAAGAATACGATATAATAAAATTTGTCCGTTTATATGTGCAACTTGAGGAGTTATTAAAAAATAATTTGATAAATCCTTAAATGTTAACCAGGAATATATTAAGTATAATCCTATAAATCCTATTATGAATATTATAAATGCTTTGCGAAACCATTGTGATTTGCGAGAATAAACAGATTGTCGAGGGAATTTTTTTTCAAAATAAATGCTATTTGAAATTTGATAACGAGGTAATGTTTCTTGATTTTTAATAGTCGTAATTCTTTGTTCGAAATTTCTTCGAGAAAAAGAAGAATAAGAATTACAATTCTTATTTGAATGAGAGCGGTAAGAAGCTCGAGAGTCAAGTATGGTTGAATGTATAGAAGTCAATGGAACAGTCGGTGCCTGGTGTAGCTTCATCTAATGGTTTCACTGTTATTTTTATATTCTTTATGATTGTTGAGTAACGCTTAAATGGGCTTGGCTAAAGGAAAATTTAAAAAGTAATAATATGACCTTTTGGTATAAACGAGTTGAGAGTAATTCAAATAGATTGAATTCCTTAAAATTAATTAAAATCGATATAAATAAATAAGTAGTTCAATTAGCACGTACATACAGATCTAAAAATTGCTTTATCGATTGTCAACAAACATTACTAAACTTTATGATGTTTTAGGAATATATCGGGTAATATTGAAACATTTCCAACCAAAGATGTTTGTTTCAACATTCAATAATAAAAGAAAATCGCATGTTCAAAGGTTTCAAATACATATCTTATGTCCTATTTATTAGTTTACGTATTTACCTTAACAATGTTTTAATGGTGCTATTATCGTATCACAAATAATCGGGTGCATATTGATCAATTTAGATTTCATAAAAAAATTTAATTTTAATAAATAAAACTTTCTAATTGGTAAAATGCCAGGTGTGTTTCTGAGTTTAGAAGTAGACTAATGCTGTAGACATTACATATTGGCGTCTATTATGACGTGAGCAATCCAGATTGAAGTGAGTAGGTCAACTTTTGGTCAAAACCGTCACTTAGTTTAAATTTATACACGGATGAAGCATATTCGATTATCAATGTTAATTGGAGATTAACTAAAGTAAATAATTATATAAAATTAACTTTATTGTCCATGCTTTTATATATTTTAGTTATTGAGAATGTATATCAACTTTTCTTAGGTTTCAAGTCATTACCATCAAATACATATCCTAAATTTTCATTATTCATATAAAATATAATACGTAGTGATGCGGTAGAATCATCCCAATAAAGTTACGACAATCATTGGGACGATTCTACCGCATCACTAAAATATAATTTCTGTAGCATTTAAACTCAGAATGAATTATAGAGGTAATTATATAATTATTTTATAAATAATTATAGAGGTAATTATATAATTATTTTATAAATATAGAAAAACAAGCCTTTTATTTTACTCATTAACCTGACAAAACTAATGCAACGTAAGATATGACTCAATTATGCTTTTAATAGTTCATGTCTTCTCTAACGTGTTACTATCTGCATATAAATACTGTATAGTAAGATCTAGTGATGGATACGTATTGTTTTGTGGACAATGCCAAGGGTTACCCCGTAATTATATGTTGTTACTTATTATCTACATTTTGCAAACACCAACTATTTTTTTTGTTACATATTACTTATTACGTAAAAAAAATATATATATAATCGCCCATCCAAGTGCTACGTAGTGTGAACCATCCCAAAATTGCGAAAAAAACAAGTACGTAGTTATTTCTAGTTCCGGCTAAGTCTATAAAGTTTTCATGTTTTTTTTTTTCTTTGTCAAAACTCTGACTCGAGTATCGATATAGTACAATAAGTTTCGTGTAACATTGCGGCTCCAAATTAAGGAGACTCGCTAATGCATTTCATATAGTGATCGACATGCATTAGCCAATCAGATTGCGAATTTCTAACAGAAAGAGAGTCTGGA